GTGGGCCAATTAACTTTGGGTCTCAACTGGCACGTGGACCAAAACTCTCGTGCCGAAAAAAACGCGTGGACGTAAATTACTGGAAAAATCAAGTGCGTGGACAAAATATCGTTGACGAAATGTCCTATGACCGGAGCAATTCGTCACTTTCCGGCTGGAGTATCACAAGCGCTATTATTTTTATTGATCATGGGTGGTTTTGAATTCATAAGATGCATTTACGAGGGCTGTCCCAAAAGAAACCGGACTTTTGTCATAGAAGACGAACCAAGCGTCGTAATGAAGTTTTTTTGGGCTTGTTTCAAAGCTAATAAGCTACTGAAGATGCTTGTTTTTACAGAATGCAAAAATTCGTATTGGTAAGGAAACTACACGCTTTGGAATGAAGGAAAGTCAAACTCGAGTTGCGATTTTTGTCTTTATTTCAAGACAAATTTAGATACAACTTAAGAAAAACCCAGGATTTAAGTTAAAAATTTGTTGCTCTATTCAAATGCTTAAAAGCTTACCAAGTCATAACCTATCCCCTTCAAAATACTTGCCAGCTTTATCGATGCATTTTTTTCCACCGTTTCTTCAACTGGGAGGAACACTGTTGGAAATCCTCAGATTTGATTGATCGCAATTTCTACAGGGTGTTCTCTTGGATTTCCAGAATGGTTTGAAAACGTCGACCTTTCAAGGTAAATTTAAGTCGTGGAAATAAGAAAAAATCACACAGAGCCAGGTCAGGTCACCTTGAAGGAATTGCGATCATTCAAACCTGAGGATTTCCAACAGTGTTTCTCCCAGTTGAAGAAACGGTGGAAAAAAATGCATCGACAAAGCTGGCAAGTATTTTGAAGGGGATAGGTTATGACTTGGTAAGCTGCTTAAAATGTTAATTTCCTTATTTTTAAGCATTTGAATAAGAGAGCAACAAAGTTTTAACTTAAAACCTGGGTTTTTTTTTAAGTTCTATCTAAATTTGTCTTGAAATAAAGACAAAAATCGCAACTCGAGTTTGACTTTCCTTCATTCCAAAGCGTGTAGTTTCCTTACCAATACGAATTTTTGCATTCTGTAAAAACAAGCATCTTCAATAGCTTATCAGCTTTCAAACAAGCCCAAGAAAACTTCATTACGACGCTCGGTTCGCCCTCTATGACAAAAGTCCGGTTTCTTTTGGGACAGCCCTCGTACATACGAAAATAATATTTTTTAGACTAAAAATGAACGAATATGGAAAAAAAAAAACTCCGTTAAGTTTGATGAGCTTCCGTATCGCAAGCGACATGGGTTTTCAGAATCCCCCGAAAACGCGGTATCACAAGCGCCAATTTTCAAAGACAAAAATATTTTCACAAAAAGATTTATTTTATTAAATCTAAGACAGGAAGTTTTGCTGGATCAGTATTCTAAGTTTCAAGCCAAAACTCCGTCTCATGCGGTCCCAAATCAGTTTTTCGTGTCTCCTGAGAAGTTAGCAAAGTGGAGCTTGTGATATATTGGCGGGAAAGTGACGAATTCTTGATGATATTTGATAAATTACCGCAAACAGTCATAAAATAGGTCGAAAATAAGCGATTCATGCACAGGGCACAGACCTAGCAATCCTCTCAGGGAGGCTCAGGAGAGCGAGAAAACTAAAAGCGCCTTCAATTTAGTGTCACGCAATTTCAGTTACTCCCGTGATGAGTCTGATGAAACTGGAAAACTCCTCTGTCACTGTCAGCATCTCAATTTATGACGATTCATCCTGCCATTTTTTATCCTAATGGAAGAAAACCATCCACTTAAAAATTCAATCATCCTGCATAATTTCTCTTCCATATCTCGCATCCAACATATCGACGGTGAAATCCCAAACTACGTCTCAACACGGTTGGCGGCGTTGCAGACTTTCTACCATAATTTATTTTTCCAGCGAAAAGTATCAAACCTCGTTCCGTGAAAACTCTCCGTTTTTCATTTTTCTTTGTGTTGAGAATATTCTGTAATAATTTTAAGGTATGACATTGATCTGTCCTCGATGAAAAGTTAAAACGGGAAAGGATATCTTGAAACACCGCTGCCGATATACGTGGTTTTGGTATAATGTTTGATCGCCCACATTTATTTTGTTTACAAACATGCAATAGTGTCAGACGAGAGGCTGTCAGAAGCCTCGCCCACTAATTTTCACGAAGAATTAGAATTTTCACCAGAGAGTGCGCGATTTTTTCAAGATTTACATAATTTCTCGATCGTCTCAGTTTTCCTTGCTCGCTTCGAAAACTGGTGAAATTTTTTTCATTCAAGAAGACGCATTCGAACACAGAGCTTGCGTCGCACAATGAGCCCTTATGAGACATCGAAAATTAAATTTTGGATGAAGACTTCATACATTTGGACGCTTATTTCGTCACATTATAAAGCATTTATGTGGAGTTTTATAAGGGAAATTTCACGAGAACGAGTTACGCTTTTGCAGTCTCATCGTTGTCATGTCAAGTAAAATCCATGGTAAAAATTGGCAGTAGAATCTGTGTTCCAAAATACCATAGACATACAGCCGGCTGTATAAGATTTCCAATAGCTTCTATAGCCGGCTACACAATTTCTTATAGCATTTTATAGCCGATGGCGACTAAGCAACAGTCAGGCGATAAAGTGTATGCTAAACGTTACTTATTACGGATGCTAGGACTTAGTGAGTTTTTGGAATACTGCTCTCTTTTTGGGCCGTAGTATCTTGATTTATTTTGCGAAGAAAGCTCCGTACTTTTGATGAATGCCTGGCCTGCCATAATTAAAATATCAGAGCGCCTTCAGTTTCGTATGATACTGTGCAATACCTCTGGTGTGAAATAGTTGCTTCAAGCGCCGTGGTAGGCGGGCAGCCAGCGCGAAACACGCATTGGCGCCTGCAAACCTAACAGGGATACTTCACGCACTGCGCAACGCGTGAAGTATCCCTGTTAGGTTTGTAGGCGCCAGTGCGTCGCCGCTCCGCTTTGTGTTAGGCTCTAATATTTAATCTGGCGGAGTCAGCGTTATTCAACTCATGATTTTGAAATGTTTGCACATCCTGTATGGATTATTCTCATTTTAATTGATGAAAAAAAATATGTATTAAAGGAAAATATAATGTTTTTTTTGTAAATATTCAGGTGGTTCCGTATCAAACTTAATGATTTCCAAAGCACACGAATTTCTACACAATTTCTTATGGCCTTTTATAATCGATGACGAAAAAGCAACAGCCAGCCGATAAAGTGTAACGCCCGGCGATAGGAATTTAGCCCGGCTGCATAATTTTTTATCGCTTCGTATAGCCCGCGGCCGTATGATTTTCTCCGCATTCCACACCCAGCTATATGATTTTCTGTAGCCTTCTTTAGCCGGCTATAAGAATTCCTATGGTATTTTGAAACGCAGCTCTTATCGCCAATTTTTACCAGGGAAATTAAGAAAAATAAAATTTCACTTACCAGAGCAGAGCAATTTTAGCCAGAGCAAATGAATAAGTGAGCTCGAGGGTGAACCATGGACCTAAAAGCGATTAAAAAGCAAATCATGATTTTTAGCGCAGTCGACCTGGCGTGCGATTCATAGCATCGATGAAATAAAAAATCTTGGCAGATTTTGAATTTGTAGCCAAAAATAAACAACGATAGCCCCTGCGCATAAGCCTGAAGAATCTTTCTAAACCAAACAATTGGCAGAATTCAGGGACATGAAAGCAGTACCTATCCGTTTTGGAAAAAACCTCGCATTCGATACAGAAATCGATAATTGTATCGAATGCGAGGTGTTTTCCAAAACGGACCCTGCTTTCATTTCACTGAATTTTGGCAATATTTTGGTTTAGAATAATTCTTTAGGCTCTTGCGCAGGGGCTATCGTTTTTTTTTTGGCTACAAATTCCAAATCTGCCGAGATTTTTTACTTCATCGATGCTATATATCGCATGCCAGTTCGACCACGTCAGAAATCGATATGAATCACCTTAATCAGCTCGCAGGTGAACGATCAGGTCCGGAATGAATGACAACCCGAGCAAACCCCCCCCCCCTTTTCCCCATAGATGAGCGAGGTCTGTCAGCCAGCAGGTGCACTTTTCGGTTAATTGTTTCTTCGGTAATTGGACTAAAATTATTAAAAAAGAGAAAAAAAGCAGGTTAAACGTTCACATTCTAAGACAAGCTGTTATATTTCGGAATGTGGAGTAATTGAATTTGAAGGCTTGCCGTAATGGAGAGACAAGTGATTCTCCCTTTTTTCCAGAGATATCTATAATTTGGACGATTAGGAAGGGGGTCGTGTAATTCGACAAAAACGTTTCTTTAAGTGTCTATGGGCATTACATGGGCGCACGGGGGGTTTCGGGGGGGCTTGCCCCTCCAGCCCAAGAGGGTTTATGTCCTCTTCCCCCTTCCCCGAAAAGTTGCTGAAAGTTGCAGTTGATCCTCTGCCCTAGCTGGGACTCAGAAAGCGATAAAAATCGCTTAATTTTCATGCTGCTCAAGAGGGTCGTTTTCAACAATTAATGTCTCCTTCCCCTCACCCACAGAGATTTAGGAATTTTTCGAGCCGTACAGTACCAGTTAGGTAATTCCTATGGAGGATAAGTTGGACCATTGTATTATTTGTGTTGCCTACTTCCCTACAACAAAATTTTTTGATGGACATTCAAAGATGATATGATGAAAAAAGAGTAGAAAAATCGATAAAGAAAAAATGGTCATCGAGAGAAAAATGGAAATTCCCCGGTATAATTTTACGAGTGGTCCGCCGAGCACGGCCGTTGGATGGAACTAGGAGCCGGGGCTATTTCATGGCTATCAAGTTCATATGTAGATGTAAGCGCATACAGAAAGCAAGGAGCGCGGTAGCGTAAGAATCTAGCCACCATCTTGTTACGTCATAACTTGGACGTCTTCTCTCGAACGGGGACACGATTGTTTCGCAATCTGGCAACGTCAATTCTTTCGGGTGTTTTTATTTACATTTTGAACGTCATCAAGTACAAACACAAAAAGGTCACCACCTTTCCCTCTTTCTCTGCGAGCGAAGAACCTAAGAACGAGATAGCAAGTGTGGAGTTGTCAGAATTCAATGACGGAAAAAGTGCCTCAAAATTTGCCAATGTGCATGTGTATGTAAGTGGTTGACATTGAAAAATTTGTTTATCGTGCGTTTTATTTTTATTGAAGTGTTCGCGAGGTCCTTCGATTTCCGTGCGAATTCGGGTATGTTAAGTGTGAGGTTTGTGTATTTATTTCGTGTGGTGACAACCTTATCAATCTGCTTTATTTATCAAACCATTGTGGAGGAGGAATCTGTTATGAATCGTCAACAATTTTGTCATCACTTACGCCATTTCAAATTTACATTTTTACGGCCTGAAAGCCTTTCAAATCGTGGTACTCTCAACATGAAATGCTGCTCTATTTCTTGTCATGTTCACTATTAGCATTAATCGTGCGTTTTATGTGGATCATCTTATCTACATTTTCCTTATCTCAACAGTAAAATTTTTAGGTTATGTTTGCTCTGTCATCTGTGTTGAAAACGGGGATAATCCTATTCCAAGTCTTTCCGAATCATTCATTATCACGAATAGTAATTCGACTACATCTGTTAATACTTCTTATCTGATGAATAATTACCATGCAGCTCGTAAGCTCAGGTTATTAAATGAATAATTGCAGGTTGTAGCGGAACATTTGCGACAACATTCGATTCTGAAGCAGGAGCTCTGTGAGCCAGTCTGTACTTTGAATGACGCTTCAGCTCAGTTCATTTTGCATCGCGCATTAATGCTACATTGTTGTTAAAGTTTGAGCGTTATTGATGGGACTCACAAATCAAACTAAGGAGCTCAGTCATGTTATGATTTATACTGCGAAGATTCTTTCTAAAGTATTTACTGTCTCAGAGACCTCAAGAATCATTGCATAGAGGTGTCATCAGCTAAGTTGGTACTTGTTTATGTTCCGCTTGCAAATGATCGCAATGCAATCAACCAATAGCCATAAAGGCGTAATTGCAACCTGAGCATGAGAGTGGTTAGTCCTCCATTTCTAATGAACAATTGCATTGCGGTTGCTTGCAAACGGAATGTAACCAAGTGCTAACTTAGCTGACAACACCTCTACCAATATTACTTCGCCAAAGGAATACCAATCCCTCGGCATTTATGCTAATTACTCTTAATTACTAATGGACCAGCCCTTACTAAAACACCATTACATATCGAGGATTGCTAAGTTAACTTATCATCTCGAATTTTTTACTCACGGTCGATTTTAAAAAATTCTCATCCTGATGGAAAGCATTTTCCCAAGATGATTCAATACATAGTTCGATAAAAATTAAAACACCAGAGACAAATTTGTATTATATTTTTTAATTTTATTGCTTGGACTTTTATGCATAGTATTTTATTTTCAGGAAATAGTTTACTCATCAATGCAAAATGTGAACACTGCGTCCTGTTTTACAGCTGTGCCTAACGAATTATCTTATGCTTTGCGTTTTAGATTGAGGAGATGGGAAGTCATTCAACCAGTTTTGCATCCACTTTGAATTGAAAACAGCAATCGTTGTACAGCTCTTGCAGTGTCATTTCGGAAGCAGCCTCCATTGTGGAAGCATTCTCAGGTTGTCGTGATGCTGAAGTAACCACAAGGTACGTATGTCTTAGTTCAGAGGCAATTTTTACTTATTAATCACTTGCCAGAGTTGTGCAATTCTGGCACCTAAGTAATCCTAATTTCTCAAGTTGGATGAAATGACACAATTATAGAGAGATGGTATATTTAAACAGAACACTAAATCATGAAATTACGTGCACACCCTCAACATCAATGGTGAATCTGTAGGAATACACTCCTCATATTGTGGGGCTGTGAATTCCCTATCATCCTTCGCTTTTCAAATGGGAAAAAAACTCAATGTCATTTTTTAAATCTTCCTTGAATTTTTTCTCTGTCTGAAGAATTTCTTGTGAAACTTTTAAGCAGTGGTGTTGGTCTGTCCTTTTTTTGACAAAAGAAAATGAAAGCAGAGATTTTGAAACACCCTCAAACAAGAAGTAGACGGTGTAAGTCCGCAACCATGTATTTCGTTTGCAGTGTTTGAAAATCTTCGTTTCTTTCTTCTTCTTTTTTAAAGGAGAACAAATCAATATCATTCCGTGAAGTTTTTGCAGAATTTTCTTCGCATAGAATAGAAAAATCAAGGCGGTTTTGAAGCATTACTGTTAAGTTTTTATCTATTTAAAAAATAAAGTATGACAAGAAGTCTGTGACATCGCCAACCGAGATACGTGGTTGCGGACTTACACCATCAATATGCATCCCTGCAGTTTGAGCATTGATAATGCACCTTAGTAGTAGGTATCCTTGATGAAAAATACGAAGAAAAACTGCACTGATTCTATTAAGCAATGAGATGAAAATTCTGTTCTTTAAAATTTGAAATGACAGATAAACGCCCCTGTACTTAAAAGGTGATTTGTGATACCCAAAAGATCGATAGTTTAATCAGTTTCTATTTTACTTTTCCAAACTATTTTTTAAGGATTCAAATCTTTAAAAATGAAAAACTTGATCTAAGTGCTGCTGTGGACAATACTTGAAGCATGGAAGTCAATACCACAATTCCCATACCGATCCCTTGTTCTGATTCAAAGATACTCTGATTCAACTAGCAAGGTGGCAACTTTGTTGCTGCGTATTGCGCTCTTTGCTCGTCTCAAATACCTGGAAGTTTCTCATTGTTTTCTCTGACAGAAAATTTCACTGCATCATGTACACTTCAGTGTTTTTCTTATGGGAACATATTAGGCCAATTTCTGGCAGTTTTCACTTACTTTTTGACCAGCATCTTCATCAATCTGGTTGAAGATTGTAGTAAGTCTGCTACATTATTGAAGATTTTGCTTCCCAAAATCCTTAGAAAAAAATGAAATATTTTTTGAAAGTATATTTCTGATTAATTACCAAAAATAGGTATTTGAAGGTATTTTTTTTTTAACTTTTACGAGAGATTAAAAACTTTGAAAATGAAGATGATCGAGAAATGAGTCACATTATAAACTCAAATTTTCAAATTCCCTTGACATTTACAAAAAGAGACAAAGAAGGGTGCGCTGCGAGCGCCTCAGTCGGCACCTGCTGAAGATGGGAGCAGTCAGGCTCCCGAAACAAATTTATCTCTTTTTTTAAATATCAAGGTAATTTGAAAGTTTGAGTTTATTATGCGACTCATTTCTCGTTCATTCAAGATTTGTTTAATAGATTAACCGTCAACTGCTTGATTTACTGCACTCAAGCTTGTAGTCTGCATCTCATTAAATCGTATTTACTCAGGAAGAATCCTATTTTCTTAGGTCTCTTCTTAATCAACTTGATTTCTGTTTTTCAGCCTCTGCTAGGCGACCATGAAGATTCTCGCCTGGCTGGGATTTATGGCACCTTCTCGTAAAAAGAAAACGAGAAATTTTCTTCCTTCCATCAACCCTCAACCATTGTAGAACAATCTAGAAATGCCTATAGAATTCCAAAACGGAGCTCAAGGAGGAGCGGAGAACAACAATAATCGAGGGAGGAATTTCAATCCCTTGATCAATGTTCGTGATCGATTGTTCCACGCCTTATTCATAAAAATAGCGCTCACCTACTCTCGCACTTTTCCAAAACCTGCTCGTAGGTTTTTGGAGTTCTGCGTTTTAGTCAAGGTATGTAAATTCTCGATTCTAGCCAATGAAACAGAAGAGACAGTTCATAAAGTTACTGAGGCTCCAAGAGGGGATGCAATACGAGTGCACTTCAGGGTGAAAGAGCTTCAACTACTGAGTAAGCTTGTCACATATGAAGAGGCAGTGTAGCCTCAAAATACATATGGCTCCAAATTAAATTTGGCAAGATTGTTGAGTTAATCGAATTAAAATGTGTTGCCAAATCGATACTTTCATTGTTTTCAAACTTTATCATTAATAACTGTGTATTTTAATCTTTGGGATTCAGATTCTCAGGCTGATAATTTATCCCCTGAAATCAACTTGCATCAGCAAGAAAGAACCTCAGATTCAATGATCCAGCTCAAAGCATTGATTTTTTCAAAGATCGATTTGGTGATGTTGATCCTCTCTTGCCGGTTTAATGTTTGGAAAATTTATCAATGACCGTTGATAAATTGTGAATGGATAGCACATGCTAGCATTGTCGTGTAGCAATCATGAAAAGCACTATCAATTCTTCAGAGACTTGCCGTGTGAAGATCTTAGATTGTGCTTCTTGTCTGTTCTGCCCAAATTTGTTAAAAGACAATCTTGCTGATCAGTTCTGATCCGATTGACAAGAAAGGAAAAAATTGGAGAAAGTCAGAACTGGTGGAAAAAAACAAGTAGCATTATGTTTAGTAAGCTTTGAAAAGAGGTGCTTGTAGCGAGTCCCTCTTATCTTTTAAACAAGTTGTTACATTATTCAGCAAGAACAAAAATGTGAAGGAAATTTGGAGTTAATTATTTTGATCTAATTCATCGACAAGAGCATTTATCTGGGTAAAATATCAGTATGCCAGAATCAATTCAATCTAATTGACTTTTTAACATACAGAATTGATCGTTTGAAAGATTATTGCAAATTAGATGGTTTATCAAAATATGGCGAAGGACTAAGGGTTTTGAAGCTCATTCTGTAATAGTCACCTTCTTGATGGAAAGTCTTGATTGCTTTAAAATAAACGAAAGCAAAGGTTGAAAAGGGTGGAAAACAACAGGAAAAACATGGAAAAGTAAGGGAATTTAAGAAAACCGTGGAAAGTCAGGGAATATTCAAAGAATTTTGCTGGGAGTCAGGAATTTTTTCCATTTGTAAAGATCAGCACAGCATGTAGGTCTACTTTTTACTTTTTTAGAAACTTACTTTTTGGTACTTTTTTAGGCAAATAATTAGCAAATATCAATAGCTGAAGAGTGAAATCACGTATCTCCATTTGCAATGTTGCAGACTTCCTGTCATACTTTATTGTTCCTTAGAAAACTAGTCAATGTAATTTCTCCAAGACTTCCTTGGTTTTTTTCCCCATTAGCAGAATATTCTGTACAAATTTCAAAGTAGGTATAATATTTGTTTGTTTCTCCTCCAAAAACAAAAAAGACATTTTGAAATACTGCAACGAAGTTATATGTATGTGGTTTCGCACTTAAGCCATTGATATGTAAGTTCGAAAATGATTTTTTCTTGGTCTGATAGATGCTTCTCCTGCTCTGTTTTTATTTTTTGTAGTTTGCCAGTCATTACTCTTATTAATTTCTTTTTTTGACGTTCTTTTCCTTTCAGGCTGTTTTTGCGTTTTTCATTCTTGCTTACATTCATCTAGCATTTTCAAGGACCCCCACTGACTGTCTTGGTCATATCCGTGATACATGGCCTCGCGATGGTATTCTACGCGTGGAGATTTTACGGAATGGAGCCGAAGAAAACACAGTCGAAAGTTCCTACGAGCGAGAATTGAGGTTGAAGCGAGAAAAACGTGAAGATATTTCATCTATATTGGGAAAGACCATTTTGGCAAAATTTCAAAATGATGAGTAAGTGTCACCCCATTTTATTTCATTTAAACCGAAAAAAGAAGGAGGAAACAGGACTTGCAAAAGGATCACATAGTTACCTCCTTGAGTGTGAAAACAGTCCGTAGACTTACTCAAGGTTTATATTAGACTTTTCTGAGTTGGTTCCTTTATGGTTGTGGTCCATTGAGCATTGTGTACAGAGTGTTTCTAAAGTGCTGCACATTTCCTGTGTTCGAGGGAATGTGAAGAGCTATCAACTTGATTTTTGCACAGGGTTCTAGGTTGAATCCTCTGCTTTGAAAAAAGACCTTCTGCAGATCTCTGATTAAAAAATTGCCTAAGTTACAGCATTATAAGAATGATGTGTAAAATGGATTTTCCACCAAAAACTTGGAAGACATAGCAACTTTTGGAGGCATACTCCATTCAATCTGAGGCTTCAAACCACAGTCGTCCGTGAAAATTCACTGTTAAAATGAAGATTTCATCTCTATAAACCCCTGATGTGGACAGCTTTCTTTTGTTGAATGCCATCAAATTTAGACCGATAACTAGAAGTACGTCAACAGGAAACAAAAAAGGATCAAAATCAGCTTGTATCAATAGAATAAAAATTTCTCTCAAAATTCTGCAAACTTATTTTTCTAAAATCGTATTATCAACATTTTTTTTCTGTCATCAACAAATTCTCTCATATTCTTATGACTGATTCTATTGTTTTTAAATTCATAGTTGGGGAGAAGTCATTAATATTGAGCCATCTTCAACGGATGATATTGTCCCTGAGCAGAACATAATTATAAATGAGAACGCAACAGAATCAAATACAACGGAGAATCCTTCGCTGAGCAAGATACTCTCTCTTTCGAATACAACAATATCGACAACAAAATTGAGCATTGATGCAACGGGAGTGAGCGGATGGAGAGAAACCGGAGATGTGGGCTTACCAAAACAGAAGCACATCACGCCCATCTCCAACGAGACAATGTTGCCGTCAGAAAAAGATCTCTATGAGTCGCCTTTCAAATTCTCGGTTTCGAAGATGGAGAACTTTGTCAAAGCAGGTACGTAATTTTATTATCATGTCCCATGTTAAGTAAATAAGTACCTTAAACACTGAAGAGAAAAACAGGGAAATCTAATTTTTATATAGAAAAAGTTAGCATTTTCCTGAGGAAAAAAATCTTAGTGAAGGTTTTGATTGAAGATCCAGGGAAGTCAAGGAATTTGGAAATTTTGGAGTCAGGGGAAAAACTAAGAGAGCCAGGAAAAAGCCAGTGAAAGTCAGGGAATTGGAAAATAAGGAAATGAACTACTAAACAAGTTACAAATTTCAGCATTCTGATACATGATTCACAATCACAACTGCAAGTAAAAAACGATACGCACAAAGAAAATTATCAAAATCAACTCTTTACGAAAATATTTAATGATTCTTGATGCGTGAATTCAAACCACCAGCTCATAAAAACTCAATGCTCTACATGATTTACATTGCGCGCTAGATGTTATCATTACAGTCATATAAAAATCTGGCAACCTCAATCTTGACGCTTTGGCTCAGCTACGGCAAATTTCTTGTGGTTTGAACAACACATGATGGGAAATGAACATTGCTCGATTGAGGAGCTTGCTGAAACCGTTGTAGTTCGTGATTTGATTCACATAGAGCTTTGAGTATCTTGTGATCGGGCAGTTCAAAGTCCGCGTAACCAATGTGAAATAAAAACGTTAATATCTTCGTTAGGAGTTGGTTTCATCAATGTCTGTTGCGCGAATCGTGTTCTGAATACGTGAAATTCTGATCAAGAAACATGTATCAGAATGCTTAAATTCGTACCTTGTCTAGTGGTCCATTGTGGAAACCCTGTTTTTTTTTTTTTTTGCAACATTTACACAGAAAAATTTACGCATATATTCTGAGGATAGGATTTTATCAAAAGTCTCTAAGAAAAAGGCCGATTCTCCTTGAAATATTAGCATTTTAAGATAAAATCAGTCTTAAGATTTGATTGATCAAAAAAATAAAGAACTCATGAAAATGTATGAAATTTTGCCCAGTAATATTTCTGGCATTTTAGAATAAAGTACAGAAATCTGGCAGTTATAAATAAAATAAAGGGTTTTTCTCTATTTTTGAGCTCAAATCATTAGTTTATTGCATCCAACTTTGAAGAATGAAATGAAACTTGTAGCTTAAACTATATTGTGTTTGTGATGTAGGCTTTCTCTAATTTTCTTCTATAGATTTTGTAACTTTAAAAAATTCTAAATTTTAGTCTGCTTTTTAAAGCGCTCCTCCTAAAGAAACTGAAGTCTTATCAGCCGCTCATGTAAACTTGAAGCTCTGTGTTTGAAAGTGTATTTTTGTAGGAAATGTGTTTCAACTAATCAATAGTTGACGACAGGAACTAAAATTGTGAAAGATTATTTTGTGGAGAAAGTCGCAGAGGTACTAGGTGGAAAGATATGGACAACCTTTTTTTTAGTACTTGTAAAATCATATTAATTTCCATTAATGCGGATTTAGCTTGCAAATTCTAATGAAAAATATGTAAAATTTTAAGTAAGTATTTTGGTGAACTACCTATTGCGAAAAAATTGGTGAACTCATGAATTTCTTCAGTGCTTTTCAATAGAAAAATTTGCAAGGTATGTGACTTAATAATTTACAGTATTATTCATTTATAATTATACATAGTTTTCATGAAGATGGCTTGCTGAATCCAAATTGGTGAATACAGAGGGAAGTTTTTACAAATTTTATTGGGCAGCGAATTCTTACCGGCTATAAGACGTGAGTGCAAGGGCTGGGCTAGCAGGACAGGCTCTGCGGACACAAAGGAAATCTTACTGCGATGGGTATAGTTCTGAGGTAGCAGCACCTTGCTGAAATCAGCCGTCGCAATTCTCTGAGCGCCAGATAATGCCCTTTCATTTACTCTGTCTACTTTAATCCGTCAGACTAGTTTCATCTTTGCCTTAATTTTTTTTTTTTTTTTTTTTTAGGCAGGTTTTTTTGCGAAGTGGGAAATAAATCCAGTTCAAGCTTTCGCTTGTAAAGAACCATCAATCAGTAAAATCCAGAGTACATAGAGTTGTAATTTAAACGGGAGAGCTGGTGCCATGTTCTGCTTGACGAGTTCCAAGCTCGATGTGCGCCTAGCTTCGGTCACTTCTTCGATACATTTTCGATCCAAAAGGGCGGTGTGGAATACGTGGTAATTTCTATCTTCTTTGTTTGCATCGGATGGCCGGGTACCTGTGTATCGAAAACAGTCAATCATGTAACAAAAAAGTAACTTGGCGTCACACAGGAAACTCGGAATTCAGGACCTAGAAAATGGCACCAGCTCTCCCACTTACATCACGACTCTATGTACTCTATGGTAAAATCCTTCCATGCTGTAGCTTGTCAGTCATCATGAATGCGGCCCAAATATTATAAAATACAGTTTTTTTTTTTTTTTTAACAAAGTTTTCAAGCCAACAGGAATGAATAGAAAGGAACACTTTGGAAGAAAAGGAACAAAATATTCCTCAATATGTAGAAAATAGCCAAAATACTTCTAATGTTTACTCTTCATATCTTCACACTTTATATCTCACGATTTTGAGCTTCATCTACCTTTTTCCGCCATGCAACTTCAGGAAAATTTCCTTGCTCACCTGTCAAATTATCAAACTCCATCGATAATTCAAACGATTTGTACTTATGATTATTCGTCACCTCTATTTCTAATGTGATTTTAATTTGTTCCTTTCAATAGTCTGGCCGGAAGAGGAATATATACTGGAGTATTCTTTGGAGTATGGTTTTTTACGTTTAACACCCCCCACAAGGCAGAAGCTCAATATTCCTGTCAAGATAGTCACTCTGGATCCGAACAAAGACAAGTGCTTTGGTGATGCTTTCAGTAGATTTTTGCTGGAGGAGTTTCTAGGTTACGATGATTTGTTGATGGCATCAATCAAAAATTTAGCAGAAACTGAAGACAACAAGGGATACTTAAGGTTTGATCTCTGCAATTTCTAAAATTTTTTATCTAATCTGTCCCTTTGCAACCAAGCAGTCAATTGTTGAAAACATTTTTATTAGTCGTATTAAATGTTTAATTCAACATATGAGGACTTATCTGTAACAATAGCGGATGTCGAGTTTTCACATTGTGAGAAAATCGCATTTGAAGTTTTTGAAGCTTTGCACTTTTCCGCCCGTAGAACCGAGAGGATTCTCATAAAGATTTTCATGAAGAGCAAGCCTTCCTGTAAAAAACACACGTTTTGTGATCTTTGTAAGTGAAAAATTGAAGGAGTAACAGCGATTTGAAAAAAATGTGACATCCGCTGTTTTTACTGAAAACGTTTTTTTATGCATGAAACAAAGTCTTCGGGAGGGTTAAGGCTGGTGAAACGATTGAAATGAACCAAAAGTAAGTCAATGCTGAGTTATTTAATACAATTTAACAATATACTAGACCGCTTGTAACTTCTAGAACAAAAATAAGGAACAAATTATAAAATCAGTTAAAAAATCAACAATTCTGGCGAGACGGTCCCAATATGTATAATTTGATTGTCAGCTATAGCCCATGGTCGGTGCGTGGGCAGTTATCGCAAGTGGATTCAAATCTCTACCATGTCCTGCCGCGCCGGCGGGGGAGAACAGTGGATTCTCACATCTGCTGTTTTTAGAAATAACATGGTTTTCAGTTCACATCTCACTGAAAAATTGTCCTGGAAGCCTGAAACTTTGCACAGGCGTTCTTGAGGGTTCCAGAATTCGAAAAAAGCGTTTTCCCTAAAAATGGCAGATGTCAGCGACCGCTGTTGTTACACATAAGTCCTCATATGTATACACAGTGAAATCGCAATAATGCATACACATCTCGGTTTGCGACATTTTAGACTTCCTATTATAGCTAATCTCTAAAATGGAAAAATACTCAATGTCATCTCTTGAAAGCTTGCACTATTTCTTCTTGCGTGAAGAATATTTTGTGAAATATCTCAAGCAACAATGTTGGTTTCCTCTTTTTTATTGAAGGAAAACGAGAGAATAATTTTGAAACACCTCAACAGTATACATATTTTTTTTAATTTTACTGTTGATATGGAAGATATTCAGGAAACAATAATGTAATAATGTGCACAACACGCTCTTTTTTTCTTTTTTGCTCTCTCAAAAAAGTGATTATTGCATTTACACAATCATTTCTTGAACTCATACACTTTTTAAATAAATAACTCCTGTACAATGAGGGATTGAAGAAGATAATATTGCTTTCCCTTCTCCTCACTCCTTTGACTAGGGTGTAAGCTTTGTTTAATCAGCTGTTATTGTATCAGACAAGTGTAAAAAGAATGAAATTGATGAAAATTGATTTAATATGTTTCCGATCAAACTGATTGATTCTATCAATTCTATCAAAGTTTTTGCAAAAATTTATACAATGCAATATTTCTAATGCATTTTGGGAATCTATTTTTTATAAATATGTACTCAACAGGTATTTTTTATCATGTGTTTCAAAACTGCATTTTAAAAATCACCCTTTTATCATTTTTTGCAGAAATGTTGTAACTGGAGAACATTATCGATTTGTCAGTATGTGGATGGCTCGTACCTCATACATCTCAGCTTTTTTCATTATGTTAGTTTTTGTAAGTATCTCAGGTTATTTTATTTTTTTTATCTCATTCTCAAGGAATTGCATGACAAAAGGAAATCTATCTGTTCAAATATTCATAGATTGGAAGCTACACTGCTCTAGAAACTGTTACAATGCATTGAAAAACTTTAAAAACTTACAGCATGTATAATTGCAAAAAGCCATAGGGGTTTCAGACTTCCTGAGGATCCATTTTTGCACCGGAATTTCCAAAATCTTCTCCCCCTCCTTTTTGTAGTGCTCTTTGCTTGAAGGTATATCTTCCAACCTATTAGCAAAGTATATTTGAACATTGTGATGAATATCACCGTAACACCAATAGTGGTAGTAAAGAGGTTTCGGAAACATACAACACCAAGGTGTTACGAAAGAAATTTTTTTATTAGAGCTGATGCTTTTCGATCTTTTTGATCATTATCAAGGCTAAGAAATTTACTACGAAGAAACTACAAAATAAAATGAAGAATAGGATGCATAGCAGAGTGCATAGCATTTTACTTGTACAGTACAATCTCACGAAAGCGGCCATCGTTATAGCGGAAATTTCTCTATAGCGGCAAAATAGGCCGGTCCCTTGAACTTTTTATGTTCGGGTCATACTTTCGCTATAGCGGACCTCTCTCTATAGCGGCAAAGGTGGTTGGGCCCCTGAGAATCCGCCACAAAGAGATTGTACTGTACTACCACTTGTTATCACCTATCAATTAAGGTGATTTGAGGGACGTCATTTTTTGAGTCAGAGCAACGTGCGATATGTCGCATCGATTCGTTCTATACTACTAGCTACTTTTCATTTTTTTAAATTTTGAGATGGCACTTCTGTTGTCATGAGACTAAAAAATTTATATACCAAATTTGACAGAGAAATTCACCGTAGTAAAAGTAGGGTTTTTTTAGAGGAAAAATACCGCATATAATTTGAATGTGTAAACCAGCCTCTTTGCAATGCCATCAGTACTAAGCTCTCTATCTTGTTCAAATATTGTGTCACGCTCACATGAACAGTGAAAAACTTACATTTGAGTTTAATTTAACAATGGATCATCAGACAGGGTAGAAATTAAGAAACTCAATGTAAGTTTCCTTGTTGAAATTTTACGCAGAATACCATTGTAAGTTAAAACATTCCAGATTTAACCTGTGAGTGAGAAAATAATGGTTTTTGTTTACGTGAATTTATACTACATGCTCTCAGAAAACCGTAGCCTTCATGAGTCAAATGGCCATCTCTGAAATGACTTTGGTATACTTTATAATAAATTTCCTGTGTTTTAATTTTTTTTTTTTTTTTTTTTTTTTTTTTGGGCAAAATCAAAGATTCCATGTATTTCAGGAAAAGGGAAATGTATGTGAGACCAAGATCCAGTTATTTACTTCATGTATAAGTTGATTCCAATACCCAATTCGACCTGCATCATCAATTATATACAAATGAGAATATATCATGAAAAATGACTTTTTTTTAAAGAGGTTTTACAAATAATTATGTGTCTAGACTGTGCAGGGTTTCTGTCAAGGTACCTCAACTGAATTTTTTATTCTGTTTCAGACTGTTTCAATTTCAATGTTACTTAGGTACTCCCATCATCAAATCTTTATTTTTATTGGTAAGTCAATCACTTTATTACGTATAGACAATCTGAATCTCAATCAGTAAAACATATCTTCACTTTAGAGCTTTTTAAAAAAGCCCTCGTTTTTTCTAATGTGGTGCATTGGTTTGCCAGCAACATTGTTTTTTTCGTCTACCTCTCGCCGCTGTATGTTTGTAATAGTTTCATGCGATTTACAATGATTCACAGTGATATCATGTGGTTGCAAAGTGCCAACCCGAGTTATATGATGGGTCCAATAATTTTTCTAACGCAACATGATAGTATCAATAAAAACAAAATGTATTCTCTCTTCAGAGTCCAGGTCATAGTTATTTTGTCTCGGAATTTTCAAAGAATTTCGCTGATCAATTTTTGGAAGTAAGAATATAATTAGTGCTGAAAGATATTGTAGAGTTTTGAAAACACTTTTACACCAACTGATTGTAGTGGACGCGCGAGCCGTGAGACAGTATGTTGTAGTTTTTATAGCCAACCTGCGTTAAAAATTCAGCACAAAGCTGATCTCAATACAGAGGGGAAAAGGTCACACACAAGTACAATTGTCTCTCAAAGAGATATGCTGTTTGATGCAACTCTAGTAACAACCAAATCAAGCCATTCAGGAAGGCAACTGCAGATGCGTTTTGGCCTCGTTGGGCTAATCCTCAGTGCAGCGCAGCCTCCTGAATTCCTTGCTACCAAGCTCGGAGAGGTCGTGAAAACCAACCTGAGACTTGAGCAAGCAGTCGCTGGCAGAAGTAAACTTGCGCCAACTAGTGAGCGATTATCCAAACAGCTCCGTATAAGCCTTGGCAAGGCAGTTTTATACAAACTGATTGCTGAGGGGTTGTAAGACAGTATGTTGGAGTTTTTTAGCCAACCTGCGTCAAAAATTCAGCATAAAGCTGATATATCTGTATAGAGGAAAAAAGCTTGCACACAAGCACAATTTTCCCTCAAAAAGATATGCTGTTTGGTGCAACACTAGCAATAGATATCAGCTTTATGCTGAATTTTTAACGCTTGTTGGCTAAAAAACTCCAACATACTGAAAACACTTTAGTCAGCAATCAAACGAAAAATTTGCAGTGGTTTGTCTCGTTAAGTTTTGTTCCGTTATTATAACCCTAGACTTCCTGTAGCTCATTTGACTCAAAACTTGTGAAACTAATTCAAATGAGACCTTTTTCCTCATCCGCTATGCTCCTGATACTTTGTCTCAAGCAATTTCTATATTTTGCTTTAATTATCGAAAAACTTGGTTAGTCGAAAGCTCTCTATTGATACAGAATTTCCAAAGTTGCTGAAAATGGATGCAACGGCAGGATGCGTTATGGGCCACCAGATATGATATGAAGTAAAGCCCTTCGCAACATATCATCTCCTCCAAATTTCAAGAGATGAACAATCCACCTAACATGAAGTTTCAAAATCAACTCCTTAACAACACGAAGAGCGTCAACATTTAACATCTTGTGAATGGCGAAAATACAAATTATATTATTTGTATTATTTAACTTCTATTTGATCTGTGTTAAATACACTTATTTATAGCTGCCTCAGGAGTTGATTTCCAAACTTCCTTTTATGTAAATTGTTTTTTACAAAAGATTTTGAAGAGAAAACATTTGACGTTTCTTAAAGTTCAGACTTAGTCAAGTGGCCCATTTTTTCAAGATGGAATCCTTGAATTGCTGCCATAGAACCGAAAATACAATAGTATAATAACATATTAAATAGCGGGTATCAAGGCTACTCAGGCGGGTACCCACACGAATACCACCAAAACGTTTTGGATGAAAACTCTAGCCTTCCACAGTTGGATAAAAACAGTAAAAAATTGTAAAAATCTAAAAAGTAGTGCTTGGCTGTACCTTCTAAAGCGAGAAGAAAGTTGTAATCACAACAACAAAAAAATGTTGAATAATCTTGTTTGATCACACCATTTTTCTCGCTTTGAAAGGTACAGCTAAGTACTATGTTTTTAGATATTTACAATTTTTTTCTGTTTTTATCTAACTGAGGAAGGCCCGAGTTTTCAGCCAAAGCGTTTTGTTGGTATTTATGTGAAAATTAGCCTTGTTATCCATGTTTAATTTGTTATCATTGTAAATCTTGTCACGGATTGCAGATCAAACATATCTCAGAACTGGAAATGTGCTCAATAAGTTGGAGATTATGTCAGGAAGTAACTGAAAGATTAAAAATAAATACATTTTTCCGCACTCACTTGCACAGTGGTATTTTTTTATTGAGGTATGTGTTTTGGAGTTACAACTCAATCATCAGCCGGCAGAAGGCTCCGTTCAGCGACAGTGAGTTTATTGCCTGAGTAACTCCAAAATGTGCCCCTCAATGAGAAACTATTGTGCAAATGAGTGGGCAAAGATTTTATCCATTTTGATGTCTAACCTTTATAGTCCCTGAATAAGTTTTTCTGTAGAAGATTCAAAACTTGAAAACTTACCAAAATTAAACAAATTAATTAGATTGTGATCTCCGCATGGTGAAAAAATATATTGGTCCCACGATGAGCTTGGACATATAGGTTGGCTTGGAAAAAATGACATTGTTTGTAAACCAGTGCACCAAATTTTTATGAAGACATTTTTTTACAGGTTTCATTTATCTCTCTTAGTTTCGGAGAAAAAAAAAGAATATTTACTAACATCCTTTACATGTGTACTTCATATCTTTTCTCCAAATAAAATAGATTTTGTTACACAGGGATTTTATCGGTCTGGAAAGCTTGGAAAATCAAATAGAGTCAGGGAATCAATGGCAACCTATAAACGTTGGGGAATTCATAGAAAAATTTGGGAATTTTGCGAGTAGTTCTTTGGTAGAGCAACCCAAGCCAGTGCTTTTTGAGAGAGCGCAATTGACTTTTAAGTGCCTCTTTTCTTAAATTGAATCTTAACAAGTGAAGTTATTATCCAAATTTGAGCAAAAGTCAGTGTAATTAAAATATCATAAATCCAAGTTTGATCGAATGTCATGAAAAGTTAGGGAATTGGAAAATGAAGTAATCATGAAAACCTCGGTGGAGATTATGTGATAAAGTAAGGTGAGGCTATTCAAAACTTACAGCTTGCCGAAAGTTTACATATTGTGCGTTTTTTATATAATTTATCAAAATCATTTCGTCAAGTCATCGTTTCAAGATTTTAGCAGAGCGTCAAAGAGCGCTATGAAAGCGACTTTTATGTATCTATTTGGAACAAAAAGATTTCCTTTGTGCACAAACCTGAGCAGAATTATATTCGCTAATATATATTTGTAAATTGAATCTCATGAATTGTTTGGTATGTTGGATAATTTTGAACCCTTGTTCTTTTACTCTGTCTAAATCTACTCAAAATAAGTGTACCACACTATTAAGAATCATTAGTAAAATGCTAAATAAATAGGTGATTAAGATTCTTGGCTATGAAATTTAGGATCTATAATTGGACCACATTTAGGAACGTTAGGCAATTAGGAACGACAATATCTGGCTCAATTTAGGAGCAACATATGTTGCATTAGTTTCCAAATGCACATAGATGTTTTTACGTATGAGCCTGAAATTGTAGTTCCTCATTGCAAAATGCTGCAAGAGACTGAATAGCCGCCTAATGGAGGCAACAAATCTCCCATCAATCTCTCATCCGTGCAGGACAGAATGGTTAGGTCTCTAACTTCTGAACATAATGTTGAAAAATAAAATGCCGGTAAGCCAAAAGAGCAAGCTTATAAAAGATGCACCGCGTGATCGTAAGTGCTTTGGAGGGTAGCGAGAGTTGAAGCTGAATAAATAAAATTGAATATTCCACACTGTGCGCATCCTGAAAAATTTGCCAATACTGTCATAGCTTGTGAGTTTCATCTTTTACAATATTAGTGCAAGGTGTTTGATTTAGATTCAGTTTAAGAGTAAGAGGGACTCAGCTGAATTCTGTACATACAGGGTGATCTTAAAGTTCTGCACCACCGGCATCAGACGCTACCCCTATAACTTTTGAACAGTTTGAGATAGATAATTGAAATTTTGGGAGTGCTTCTAAGTCAAAATAAATGACTTTTCAAACCCCCTAAAATTTTAAAGGGACTACCTTGGAAAAGGGCAAGAACCCTAAGCACTGTGGGCCAGATCGTGTCCGTAGCGGCGCGAAATGCAATTTTTCGACATTTTTTTTTCCACATCAGAGCTATCTTAATCGATGCTCAGATACCTACTGATAACGAAATTACATGGGAATATCTAAAATATTCATTATATCTGCGGTTTCCACGTAGATAGATATGCAGCATGTGGAATGTGATGAACCCAGATTTCTGCAACCTGAGGCGCGCGTTGTATACTCGCTTATTTCACAGAGCACTCGTGAACCTCAAACCATTATATGCATCTGACTGGTAAACTCCATTGCATGACGAGTATTTTCGCTTTTGCAGATCCGAAAAATATAGATTTTTAGCTGCAGGGCATGAGATCAAAGTTGCCCGAAAAATAAGCCTTAAAAAATCAATTTTCCAGAATATTGTCGACTGGGAAAGTGTCATTGCGGTTCGTTGCGCGGTTCTCTCTGGTATTTTTAGAAAGCACATATCCTAGAGATACCATATACCAAAGCACAAACGGTACAAACCGGTACAACCATATTTGTCGGATGCTTATTTGAGGCGACCTCCAATTTCCGCGAAAATCAGATGTAGAGGTTTTAAGGAACTACGTTACACAGTAAAGCGGCCAATGAAATATTTCAACACAAATTCATGTTTTAAGGGTTTTTAAGGTTTCTAATAGCATTTCTCGCTCTTTCGATACTTTAGGGTGGATGGAGGGGGAGGGGGAGGCCGACCAAAATCAGACAGTCAAAAATTTTTTTATGGTTAACAATTTTCTTGAGCTCAGTAAATAATGGTAATTTTTTTACATCCGTTCACGCATTCAGCCCAAATAGGACTGGTTTTAAACCAATTCGGCAATGAATAGGAAAATTCTACAGTCACATGGCACCTAAGTTTAGAGTGAGTTGACCGTCGCTCACACCAATATAACTGATGAAATTTCAATTTCATTGTTAGACTGAAAGTAATGTAATATCGTATGATTGAAGTCACTCAGATAACTAAATATTGACTTCTTTAAATACAACTATGCCTATTTTAGTGTTACACCCCTCCTAAAAGCTATTGTCATCGTGTAAATAATGTGTTATTTTAGGTAAGTAACGGTATCCTGAGCTGTGTACGAGTCGGTTCTTGTTATTGCGTTATTTTCATACCAATATTAATGTTTGATCGAATTAAGAGAATTCGATATAGAATCCTCCTCTCCCTTGAAGATATCATCCTCAAGCACGCAAGATTGCATAAAGTACAGTTCAACAGAGAAATTGAAATTTCAGCAGTTATATTGGTGTCAGCGACGGTCAACTCACTCTAAACTTAGGTGCCATGTGACTGTAGAATTTTCCTATTCATTGCCGAATTGGTTTAAAACCAGTCCTATTTGGGCTGAATGCGTGAACGGATGTAAACAAATTATTACTAAAATTATTTACTAAGCTCAAGAAAATTGTTAACCATAAAAAAATTTTTGACTGTCTGATTTTGGTCGGCCTCCCCCTCCCCCTCCATCCACCCTAAAGTATCGAAAGAGCGAGAAATGCTATTAGAAACCTTAAAAACCCTTAAAACATGAATTTGTGTTGAAATATTTCATTGGCCGCTTTACTGTGTAACGTAGTTCCTTAAAACCTCTACATCTGATTTTCGCGGAAATTGGAGGTCGCCTCAAATAAGCATCCGACAAATATGGTTGTACCGGTTTGTACCGTTTGTGCTTTGGTATATGGTATCTCTAGGATATGTGCTTTCTAAAAATACCAGAGAGAACCGCGCAACGAACCGCAATGACACTTTCCCAGTCGACAATATTCTGGAAAATTAATTTTTTAAGGCTTATTTTTCGGGCAACTTTGATCTCATGCCCTGCAGCTAAAAATCAATATTTTTCGGATCTGCAAAACCGAAAATATTCTCCTTCCAATAGAATTACAAGGTTAGATGATAAGATTGCATTTTCCGGTTCGATGATTGTGTTTTTCCCCCATTTTATAAGAGCACAAGATCCTCTTTATTATCGAGCAATTTCTTCAGATTTCGACGTCCAAAACCTACATTTAGACATTTTTGCCGGTTTTTTTGACACAAAATTTGGAAAGAGGGAATCAAATTACCCTAGGAATCATCATGTTTTGAACGATATGCTTGATCTAGCGGGAGTTATCAATTAAGCGCCGCTACGGACACGATCTGGCCCACCGTGCTAAGGGTTATGAGAGTGTTGCGGGACTTTTGAATCACCCTGTGTAAAACGGAGATGCATCATCCTCATACTTCCTTTAAGAAAAGCATATTCTCAATATTATATTAAATTCAATTGTTAAGGGTTCTCTTACGAATTGAAAATATTTGAGCTCTCTGAAGATGCACTCCATAATAACAGTGACAGAGTATTCTAATTGAAGTCCGGGTGGGGCATTACGCCTACATAGTTATTCCTTACCTTAACTTACGGTAGGATTTTGACATCACAATATTTTCGTGATATTTTTTCTGACGCATGTGTGGATTGCTAAAATGATAGAGGAATTCGAAATGTTTCCCCCCTGGAGGTATCGCAAAGATGCGTTGCAGTCGTAAATCGTAGTTTCCCAGGAGAAAGGAAGTAATTCAATTCCAAAGTTGCAAAATCGACCCAAACAATTCAACTTCTCACACAAATATGACCTTGCAGCTTCCGTCCCAAATTTTACCAATTTGTAAGTGTAATCTGAAGAATAACCAGCGAAATTTTCAGTTAGAAAGACCCAACAGTTTCCCAATAAAAATTAAATTCGTGAATTGATTTATTACGACATTGAAATTTATACACTTCCTTTCATCCGCGCAACGACGAAATACGGGTGATACACGCTCTCTAAACGTCTCTGTCTACAGGATGATCTAAAAGTTCTGCACCACCAACACCATGCATTACCCCTTTAACTTTTGAAGAAATTGAGATGGGGATTTGAAATTTTAAAGGGTGTTCCCAGGTCGAAGGAAACGGCTCTTGGGAACACCCAAAATTTTGAAGCCCCCCCCCCCCCCCCCCCCCGGTGAAGGGGCAAGAACTATAGGGGTTATAGGTATGGTGCGGGACTTTATATGTATGGCTGGAACTCCTCTTTCTTATCGGATCTGACGGTTAGAAGGGCATTTGCAAGGCCCCAAGATGTTTAATGTGAACATTTTGAACATCAACCATAGAAAATTTGAGGAAGGTCACCGCGTCTGACTCAAAGTTAATAGGCCCTGGGTTCGAGTCTCGGTAGTGGATCCGTAGAAACAGATTCTTTTCTGCTGTAATTTTTGAGTATTCGAAAAGCTTGAAGCATGGATGTGCCAATCCCTTGATGTCTGCGGACAATAAATAGAGTCTATAGATGGTTGTAGGTTCCTGACGGAACATAAGCTAATAAGCCAGCAGAAGAGAGAGAGAGAGAGAAAAGAAAAACAAATTCACGAAGAAAAAAGATGGGTTTATTCAATGAAACAAAAAACTAATGCTTCCCCAGAAACTCAGTTGTCGAGGATGGGGACGGGCCTTGGTAAAAATCCGGGAACCGAGAAATCGTCTGGAAATACTACCGTGCTAAGGAAAAACGCCGTATGAACATTCGAGAGTTGCCAAATTTCCGCCAGTATTTTGCTTATTTTTTAGAAGAGTTGTGAATATTTTCTTTTAAAATTTTCAGATCATATAGATCTAATCACAAGGAAAATGCTCTAGAAAATTGAACGGAAAATATCCACAAGTTTTTCTGAAAATTCCTATTTGATTAAAGGAAATTTGGCAACCGCAGAAGGTTCATACGGCGTTTTTCCTTAGCACGGCAGAATATGCCTGGGCGCATATCAAGTTGTTTGGTCTGAAGGCACGCTATTTTAGAGTATTATTTGTTCTGTCATGATTTCTTCTTTCTTTAACAATTTTCATCCGTATATCTTTTCTCAGAATCCCTCGCATGAGGAAAGATGACCTATTTTCCAAGTTGAATTTTCCGAGGAAATTGAAAATCCTCCAGGACCCCTCTTACTCTTTTATCCCTAATTATTAGAACACCGACCCCCCCCCCTTTCACTGCGTTCTTGACATAGCTACCGACGTGTACCTCCTGACCTACTTGATGCATGCCGTGACTTATTGTTTACTCCCAGAAGGGAAAATAGCGCAATCTCAGAGGCGTGGCAAACTTCGCAGTGAATTGATTGATGTGCCGTTTAAATTTATGGAAAAGGATCGATTATCAGGACATTCGATACGAACACCTTAGTAATCGATTCTGTAGAATAGCTTCTAATGGAATAATAACGATAGTCGATGGTTCACGCTTGCCACTGCAATCTCGTCCTTTGTCGCAGTTTTTTTCTGTGTAGTGGGAGGGGGGGGGGAGCGAATCTGGGGGCTGAGTAAGAGGGATGAATCTGGAAAATTTTTGTAGAGAACAGTACTGCTGTGATGAGAAAAAACGTCGTAAGAACATCCTAATGCTGCCAAATTTTCCTTCAGGAACCTCGTATTTTTTAAGGAAGTTATGAATATTTTTCCTTTAAATTTTCAGACACTTTAGATCAAAATACGAAATGAATTCTCTGAAAAATTGGAGGTAAAATATTCCCAAATTTTCCCGAAAATGCTTGATTTGTCAAAGGAGATTTGGCAATGTCTGGAGGCTCGTACAGCGTTTTTCCTCAGCGCGGCAGAGTGAAAGCACGTGAAGTTCCTGTTAACTAAGTAGCGCAAGGAGAAAAAGCTGTTGGTTCATACGGAACTTAGAAGTTTGCAGTCCAGGCAACTGAAGTTTCCAACTATGGGAACCGAACTTCAGTTAAGGTATCCTAAGTTAGCGCAAGGTCAGACTCTGAAAGCAGTAGAATTAATTGCCAACGACCGTAAACACGGAAAGAAAAGCATCGTAATCCCAACTTCACTCTTGGCTGATTTTGGCGCCAGATGCAAGAGCAGTTGCACCAGTTAGAGGCACGGTTAGGTCTACCGAAAGTGTAGTTGGATCAGCAATACTCTTACCTCCGGAGTGCGACTACTCTTATATCTGGCGCCAAAATTAGCCGGAAGTATAGTTGGGATTGCAATACTTTGTCTCAGTGAATGCCTGTTAAGGCGTAATTTGGCGAATTCTTTACATTCGATAGCTTCCAGGAGTATGAAAAATTCGTATTTTCAAATTATTTCGTAAATGGATTGTGTTGGGAGAAAGTCTTGTAACCATCATAATTTTTCGTTTTTGTTTGTTGCAGTTGATTTGTTGCAAATGTTGGAATTCAATGTGGCGATTACATTCCCCGCAGCACCTCTGTTGACAGTCATTCTTGCTCTAGTCGGTGAGTTCTTACAAGTCCTTTTCCTCCAGTTTCTCAGTGATTGTTTCTTCGCATTTGATCTAAATCATCTGAAACTTTCCAAGAAAAAAAATCACAACTTTACTTTCAAACGATTTCTTTTTTAGAGAGATATTGGGCAAAATTGTAACATTTTTATGGTGTTTTTCCCTAGAATTTTTTTCCCCTTTTTAGTGTCGCTGGCTGTGTGCGTCTTTCAATTTATGGGCTTTTCCTCAAATAAAAGTAATGGGACCCCAGGACACGTAGAAACATTCAGAATCACAGCCGATCGGTAGATACAACTTAATTAACTCCGATGTTAAGTTGGGTTGTATCGTCGATTTTGAAGGCGAACTGGTAGTGATTTCGTTTCCAAGCTTCAAATGAACACCGCATGTATCATTGCCATTCTACTTTCGCGATGGAGAGGATCTCTAGTTTAGAAATGAGAACTATGCTGCCTTGTTTGTTAAAAAAAACGCCGTATCAGTCATTGACGTGGTGTGCTTTAAGCTGTATAAACTCATCTGTCATTCAAACCTTTGAATAAGGATCGATTAACAGGGTGTTCGCAATCGATTCCTTACTATTGCTTCAAAGGGGGAAGTACTGAGAGTCAATCATTCGTGCTTTGCCACTGGCGTCAGTGTTGCAAGGTTCAGGGAAAACTTGTGCAAATCTGTACCTGTGTGTGCAAATTCAGGATTGAAGCGCCTTCAATTCGAGCGATACTTACCGCTTTGCCGTCAAGTTAGTTTAGTTGCGTGACCTAACTTAACCCAACCTGACACGGTTGCGATCAGTATGTGAGCTTTGTGACCGATCAGAGTCATAAAACTCGGGTACATTCAGTTAAAGCAAATACGAAAGTTGTTCCGAAGTTCTGGAATAACCTTGCGGTTTAATTTTTTGCAATAATAATCAATGAGAAATGGACCAAGTCTAACATAAATGGATCAAGTTTAACATAAACAGACCAAGTTTAACATAAATGCACTTAATCGGCTCTGTTTTGATTCTGTTGCGATCGGTCTCCGAGCTTTGTGACCGATCAGAATCGTGAAACTCGGTTTTTTTTTTTTTTCAAATTAGAGTTTTAATTGGTCCTCCTGTTCAAAATTGCAATAAATGCACTAGAAGAATTTTTGCGAAAAGTTGTTCGAACGTTCCGGAATTACTTCGCAGTTTAAATCTCTCGCGATGATAATTAATGACAAATGAGTCGAGTGTAAAATGAATGCACCAAGTCGCATTTAAAAAAAAAAGAAAAAAAGTTGAATGTAGTCTTATATTTACCTACCCAGTCGTGAAATTCGAATTAGAAAAAATATTTTTTAATCGTGAAAATAACCGTAGAAAATTCATCCTCAACATTGAGTTTTATGGAGGAATACAACTTCGAACTTAGTGCGACTCGGCGCGTGTCCTTTTCGGCCTTATCATTTGCGTTCCTCTGACAAAAAAACGTATCTCAATTTCCACGTGAGCCCTGCTTTACACGTAAATCTATAGGTTTAATATTCTTTCTGAGGCTCATGGGAAATCGAGTTACGCCCTTTTATCAGAGGAGCATCATCATGTCCCATCGACGAAGACAAAACATCAATAATCGACCCGCAGAAGACATCAACTAAGTCGGAGTAAACCGCCGAGGAATCTGATCTGCCGTGCTAAGAAAAAACACCGTATGGACATTCGAGAGTTGCCAAATTTCCTTCGATAAAATGTGTATTTCTGAGGAAAGTTATGAATATTTTTCCGAAACATTTTCGAGAACTGTAGGTAAAATTGCGAACAAAATTTTGTATAAAAGTGGAAGACAAATGTTTACAAATTTTCTCGAATATTCATGATTTACTAAAGCATGGTGTCTAGTTTTTAAAAAACCGGGAAAACCGGGATTCATCAGGGAATGAAAATTCACGGGGAAAATCAGGGAATCTGTTCCAGAAACCGGGAATCTCTTCTCCAACCACCCAGGGATCATTTCAGAACACCCAGGAACAGGTTTTGAATTAAAATTTTGAATCTGCGCCAAAGAAATGGCTGTAAGATTACTTAAAATCGATGTTCATATCTGAAACTGTGGAAAATAATATTCTTTCCCCCAAGAAAATCGCGGGGGAGTGGGAGAAAACTTGGGTTTCTCATCAGGGAATAAACTCCTGAAAATCAGGGAAACTCAGGGAATGAGCTTTACCAAGAAAACCAGACACCATATACTGAAGGAAATTTGGCAACGTCTGAAGGGTCATACGGCGTTTTTCCTTAGCACAGCAGTAATCGAGCGATTAACGAAGGCACAGAGCCGCCTGCCGCTCGGAGTGGCGCCTGCCCTTATGACCTCTGACACCCCTCTCGGGTGCGAACAGCAATTCGTCGCCTGTTTGACATAAGGGCGTAACTGAATTTCGCAATGAGCCCTATCGTCCATTTAACTCAATGTCTTAACGGGCTCATCTCGATGTGTAGTCACGCCCCTTTGTCGGCCAAGCGACGAATTGCCGGGAAAACGGACGGTCGCCCTGCCGAAAACTCATCCCGGCTGGCGCTTTGGCGATTAAAATAATGCAAATGAAATGAGGCGCCCTCCCTCTTCTTCCGCTCGGCTGCCTCCGGGCTCCGTCCAGCTCCAGATTTCACGGACGGGTGTGCTAAGTGTCGTCGCCGCCCGACGGCGCCACTGTCGACTTGGGAACGTCCGCGCAGGGTGGCGAAATTTTGTGGATAAGAAAATCTTGGAATTCAACGTGAAATATTTCATGAAATTTCAGAAATGTTTGGAAGATATTGAAAAATACCGGTTCCTTTTCATGTTTCGCAAAATGTAATACCTGTGAGTTTCTCCTATGTTTGTGTGTTTGAGGGCGCCCTGACGGTGCCAATGTCGGCACTGTCGACCTTGAAACGTCCGCCAGGGTGACAACACTGGAAAAAAAAGCACATTGGATTTAGAGTCCAGACTTTTGAAAACATTGACAAGAAAAAAGACTCTTGATTCAAGCAGATTTAAGCTTAAATCAAAGGAAATCCGCTCAAATTAAGAGGCTTGGTTCTTGATTTAAGCTTAAATCTGATTGAATCAGGAGTCTTTTTTCTTGTCAATGTTTCCAAGAGTCTGGACTCTAGATCCAATATGTTTTTTTTTTTTTTCCAGTGCATGTTTGTCTTCTCCATTTTAAGTACTTTAGTTTTGCTCATTCATTTTATTTCACTTCTTCATTTGTGATTGTACCTTCAAAATATTTCAAAATTCTCCCGCACGATTTGACAGAGCTCGGAAGAGCGGACTGCGGAACTGAGGGCGGGGACGGCTTGAAAGTTAAGATAATGGTCCAATGAATGTTGCACGTGCCGACGAGTTTTCGAAAATTTTAACGGCTCATTTGCCCCATGACCGAGATCCTCCCCCGCAACCTCTCGGCCTCACATCCAAGGCCTCCACCGGAAAAACATCAGATGTCCCGTGTGAAACTTATCGCATTCTCGTTGTTTTAACATCCAAGGCTGTTCACTTGAAGAACGACGTATAATTCGTGGGAAGTGTATCGTGCATATGTTGTTTCTACGGACGGGGCCTCGTTTACGCTTGTCGTTGTAGCCGAGATACCGGAAATTCGATTGTATTTTGCAATGGACCATAAGACAAGGTACGAATTTCAGCATTCTGATAGATGTTTCATAACTGAAATTTCACGTAAAACACGATGCGCACAACGAAAATTACGGGTATTAACTCCTTACGAAGATAATTAATCATTCTTGATGCGTAAATTTAAACCACCCAATCATGAAAACTCAATACTCTACATAATTCTAACGTTAAACGTTATCATGACAGTCTCTGTGATATAAAAATGTGACAACCTCAATGTTGACACTTTGGCTCAGTTATAGCAAATTGCTTATAGTTTGAACAACACATGGTGGGAAATGAACATTGCTCGATTGAGAAGATTGCTAAAACCGTTGTAGTGCACAATTTGACTCACGTAGAGCTTAGAGTTTCTTGTGAGCGGGAAGTTTAAATTCCTCGTAACCAATGTGAAATAAAAACGTTAATATCTTCGTTAGGAGTTGGTTTCAGTAAAATTCATTGCTCGAATCGTGTTCTACGTGAAATCCAGGTTAAGAAACATGTATCAGATTGCTTAAACTCGTACCTTGTCTAGTGGTCCATTAGGAACTAAGATTTCCGGCTCGTCCGTAAAAAGTACTTATATACACCAATACTGCCGTGCTAAGGAATAACGCCGTATGAACATTCGAGAGTTGCCAACTTTCCCTTGATAAAACGTGTATTTTTGGCGGCATTCATGTAAATTTTTTTGTTGAAATTTGCAGATATTTTAGATTTAATTTCGTACAAAATTGTCTGAAAATTTTGGGGGAAAATTTCACAATTTTTCCAGTAAATTTAGTTTTTATCGAAGGAAACTTGGCAACGTATGAAGGCTCATACGGCGTTCTTCCTTAGCACGTCATAATGGTACATTCGTTGTCTCTAAACTATTGAGCCAAAAATTGTACGCATTGTACATCAAAATTCGACACAAGACTGCAGGGATACTTCACGCATTGCGCGGACTTGCAATGCTTGAAGTATTCCTGCAGACTTGTAGGCGCTAATACACAGTTGGCACTGGCCACCTAGTGCTTGACTCTAATGCTCAAACTCGCGGAGTCAGCGTTTTCCCACTCATTATTTTGATATTTTTTTACAGCATTTTTTAATTCATGTTTTTGTCTTATTGATTTGACGAGTCATTTATTTTTACCTATTTTATGTTTTTACGATATATATGATTTGATTTGCTCGGTACTAGATGCCCTGACAAGCACGGCTATGCCCCAGTCGTTCGTAGACAAACTGAGAAAAGAAGTTTTTGAAATGTTTGTACACTCTGTATGGACTTTTGTCTTTTGAAATGAAAAAAAAAATTATGTACGTAATATTCAAGTAATTTTCCCTCTTCCTTAGATGTTTATGAAAGACCTCC